CCGGGCCCCCGTGTGCTACCTGTGCCTGGAGGACGGCAGGCACAGCCAGCACGAGGTGAAGCCGCTGGCCGCCGTGTGGAAACAGCACAAGGTGAGCGCGCCACGGGGGACGCGGGACGGGGCACGCGCCCGGGGAGGGGGCGCACAGGGGGCCGGGGCCTCCTCCGCGGAGAGCCGGCAGGGGGTCGGCCGCGTCCCTTCCATCCGTCAGTCATTTGACAAACCCTGAGTGAACCCAGGGACTCTGAGCCGGGTGTTGGGGACCGGGAGGATACGGGAAGATGACTAAGTCCCCTCCCACCTGAGAGTTGATGATTCTGCACAGAGGGCACCCAAAACGCAGGAGCAGGGCTCTTCCACTCCCCAAATGTGACTAATTAGTTACCTGGATGGCCCATCCCGATTTATGGCATGCAGGACCCCTTTGCTCTCTCTGGGTGAAAAAAAAAAAAATTAAGTGCAAGTGTTACCACCTGGCTGCAGGACAATGTCTGATGCCATCCTGCACTCGCCAACCTGCTCTCAGGGCTGGGAGGCCGCTCTCCAGACCTCACTGAGGGATGCACTGTTTCCTGCTGCACAGGACCCCATCAGCTTCCAGAGCAGAAATTGTCCCTCTCAATTAGTCTCCAGCACTTTCTGTGCTAGGAATACCTCTCAGCCTAGAGGGAAGATGCCATCTCTCACGGGCCTTGTTTGAGCATCTGGGTATGTGCCCTTTTAAGGAGGCAGCCTCCCTTTCCGCAGACACCTTCTCTTGCCTGGACTCTGCCACTGGGGACAGCTGTAGTGAGACAACCAAGCACGCCTGCATCAGCAGGTGCACAGGCCCTCCTCCCCCGGAGCTTGCCTGGGGGAAGGGGCCACTCTCAGCAACTCATGGCTGAATGTGTCCTCGTATCTGATTCTGGGATAGAGAGAAGCCATCAAAATCCGGTCAGGCCCTTTATCAGGCTGCAGAGCAAGACTGGAGTTGGTTCTTTTAACATTCGCCTAAATTTCCCACCCAAAACCTTAGCTGAGCACATGGGCACACTGTCCCCCGAGGTCAATGAGCTTCTGGACAGGTTAGAGTCCCTTGTTCAAGGATCCCTAACTGCAAATTCAGATATGATCGTTCACAGTGATCTTTCCAGTAAACTCTTGCCCCGGAAGAGTCGAGGCCCGACCCGCTCAAGTGGAAATATGTATTTGAATTGAGGAGGAGAGATACAGGAAAATAAAGCAATTTGCCAGGGCCGTGTTGTGTCATCCAACTGGAAAAAAGCAAAAGGGGGACACAGATGAGAGAGAAAGAAGAGACCGACTGTTCCTGTGTAGATTTACTGTTCATATATATGAAGCGTATGTAGTTACTCTGTGTAGTTTTATCTGCTACAATGAGCATATTGTAATTTAACGTTTTTTAGTAAAAAAATAGAAAAAAAAACAAACAAATGGAGAACCTGTTAGAAATACATCTCGGAGAAGGAAAGTTGCATAGTAGATTAGAGGAAGGGAGATATGCAATCAAATCCCTAGTTCTAGAGCCATGGTTCTCAGTTAGGTCCAATGTGCACCCTCCCCCTTCTGGACAATTGTCAATGTCTGGAAACACTGTTGGCTGTCACAGCAAGGGGATGCCCTTGGTACCTAGTGGGTAGAGGCCAGGGAGGCTGCTAAACATCCCACCTTGCACGGGACAACTGCCTCTGGTGAGAAATCCTGCCGTGTGTATTTACACAGATCCGGATACAAATCTCAAGGCTTGCAACTCACTAGCTGTACAGGTTGAGGCAGTTTTGAACCCGTTGAATAATAATATCTAACTCAGATAATTATGGTAAGGACTAAGTATAATACTGTATGTTTAGCCTCTAGCATAGTACCTGACCCATTGTGTCATTTATTATTTTTATAGTCTTAATGCTTTTTAAAAAAAAATGCTTATTTATTTTGATGGCTGGCTGGTATGGGGATCTGAACCTGTGACCTTGGTGTTTTAAGGCTGTGCTCTAACCAACTGAGCTAACCAGCCAGCCCTGCAGTCCTAATACTTAAAACCACTAGACTTGTGCAAAGCTACATGGCAGCAGCAAAGAGTGCTTATCTGGCCTTATTGACTCAGTTGCCTGGAGAAAATGTGAGCTGGTAAATTTTGGTATATTGTTTATACCCTGCCCAAAAATAGCTTTGAGCTGAACGGGAATGTCTGTCTCGAGTCACATCACTCGTATGACATTTTGTTGCATATCGCTTCGTAGTAAGTGTAGCTGCCTTACTTATTTCATTTTTAAGTGAAGAGACATCCTTTTACAAATTAAAGAAATGATTTGCAAAGAGGCTTTGATCCATTACCAAGACAAGAAGTATAGGTTCTGAGTCTCACATTCACATTTCAAAAAGTGTTAAGTTTTCACAGCCTAGAGAGCCAAAGCTGATTCTGGGTGCTGCCACCCAAATGTTCACAATCAGTGGAGAGTGGAAACCAAGGAGAGTTGAGATTGTGAGTTTGCAATTGTAAGAGAGATGAAGCATCTTGGAAAAGTGAGTTGGATGATGAGCTATGATTTCGAGAACCAAGGTCATGCAGGAGACGTCATCCCTGGCTTGGTGTCGACAGCCGTTTGTAAAATCTCTATCCCCAACAAACAACACAAAGTTGAGAAGGAAGTATGAGAATCCCACATGATATCTGCTCAAGACAGTGGACAGTAACCTGGGGACCGTGACTATGCAGGATCTAGTGTCTCGATTTTGCAACTCGTGCTTTGTGTCGGAGAACTAAGACATCCTCCTAAATCTAGAGGGAACACGGTGAGATGCTGTTGTAAAAACCTGTTTCCAAGAATGAATAGAGGCTCTGCTGTGCTCTTCATTTTTTTTTTATATTTTATTTTATTTTGTCGATATGCAATGTAGTTGATTATTGTGGCCCATTACCGAAACCTCCCTCCCTCCTCCCGCTCCCTGCTCCCTCCCAACAATGTCCTTTCTGTTTGCTTGTCGTATCAACTTCAAGGAATTGTGGTTGTTGTGTCTTCTTCCCTCCCCCCCCCGTTTTGTGTGTGTGTGTGAATTTATTTTTATATTTTTAGCTCCCACAAATAAGTGAGAACATGTGATATTTCTCTATCTGTGCCTGACTTGTTTCACTTAATATAATTCTCTCAAG